TAAAGTAGTTGGCTATAAAGAAATATTTATTTAAGAAACGATTAACTCGTTATGATGAGCATAAAATATGAATATAAAAATTGATGAGATGAAGAGAAATTTAGATTACAATGAAGTTTATAGTCAAATAGGCCATTTTATAGTAAATGGGACCACAAATCTTGAGAAATTAAATTCGCTTTTCTCTTTCATTTAGACCCTCTCGTTTGTACTTTGACATACCGCTGCTGCTTCTGACCTCGTTACCGGTTTACCTCTACTCTCTTTAAGCATCTGACGATGAGATAGGGCTACCATATCTCTTTGACTCCTCTTTCGTGCAATTACAGAAGAGTGTCGGCACTTGGAGGCGTTGAGGAAGCTTGTTCTAGACCTAGAATAAAGTAAAAAAGAAAAGAGAAAATCCCCTATAAGTACATGTAAAAAACTTCTTTTTCTATCTTGCTCTTGACCATGGTTTTAATATAAAAAAAAAAGTAGAAAATGTAGAGAACCAGCGAGTTGGAATGTTAACATACAAAGTTAAAAGAAAAGAAAAAAGTAAGTAGGAAGAGAGAGTTAGAGAAAAATCCTTTGATGTCTGAGCATGATGACGAAGGAGAAACAGCCCTTTCAGTGAAGGCGTCGACCCTTGAGAACTGGTGCCAGACACAATTGTCACAAGAGGGCCTCCCGTGGTACTTCGAGGTCTCTCCTTTTACATTAGTAAACGCACTGCCAGTGGGACCTAGTGTGCTCTAGTCACCTTTTAGGGCGTACCAACTTCAACTATCGTTTCTTTTGCATCAAATCCACCCATTCTTACTTTTATCTTCAACAACACTTCCGGCTTTTCACAATCGCTCCTTGTTACTTTTTAATTTCTACCTCTATGTCATGGCCAAAATCTTATGAATTATTTCATGCATTTATGTATTGTCCTCAGGGATTCGACTAACATCCAGCAGTGATGATTAATAATGACTACCTTTCTCCTGCTGAGAGCGTATTAAAATAATTAATTTGACTTGAAATTTAATCAATTTACTCAAGTGTAATTGGAAGTTTACGGGAAATATTCAAAATGTAAGAATCGTGCAGTCTACAGGTCTCGTGCAGATCCGATATCTGATGCAAAGAAACTGGCAAAGGCCAGGAGACACAGCCAAGGATCCATGGGTATTGTTTCGAAGTGATTTAAAAATCCTTTCGTGGCTCGTTAACCTTCCTATCGGATGCTTGAGGCCAATGTAATGCAGCCGGAACCACGAACAAGAGAGTCAACTTATACGGAGACCATTGGGCATTTATTTTGCCCCTTGGCCCTTTTCAGTTTTTTTTCAAGACCTCTTTTACCTTTTCCTTTTACTAACAGTTTGTTCGTTTTCTTCGTGTCCTTTTTGCCCTCCCAGAATCTACTGCTTCCGAACACTCGGTGCAGGTACATGAGAAACTTATTGGTGGGGTGCATAAGAGATTTTATCTTCAGTAAAGAATCACGAGTGTATATGGTCGCTACGAAAATGTCTAGTTAAGATTGTATTTCTAAAGATATACAAAATTTGATCTTTTTAATTATAGATGTCGAGGGTTCATTTTCAAACAAGTAAATTACAGGTTTGTTAAACATTTAATTGAATGGAAAATTTCCAAATCTTCATCAAAAAAAAAATTGCTTCACGATGTTCAATAAAATACCTGAACATCTAAGAGACAACCATATTGTTTCTCCTGTGGTTTTAAGAGCACGATTATTATTTCATCAGACAAAAGAGGAACTTGCAAAAAATTTTTTATTGATACTATCAGCTATAAACTAACTGATAAAAAATGGTGAAATATAATAAGTTGATTTTCGTAACTATAAAACATCGATTTTATGGCCGTTTACTGCAAAGCAGAAATATTTTACGAGCATGTGCACTCTTCTTGGTCACGAGAGCGTGCAGAGTCGTAGTAGCCAATCGTACCTTTTATTCATTTCTTTCTTACGATCTTACCTGCAGGATCAACCATACCACCGGCTTCTGCAAGTCCTCCAGAGAATACAAGGGAAAAGAATGAGAGGTGTAGCCAAGATCCAAGATCGTGGATATATGTGCGGCTGTATTTTATGGAAAGTCTCTTGGGTCCCCATGTTCAACAACACACCTGTCAAACACATGAATGTTTCGTCCTCTATCTATAAATTTTCTACGTTTATATTCTTAATGTCATCCTCTCATGAAATATGAGAAGGTCCATTTATTAATTGGTGAACAAACATTTGTACATTGAATAAATATTTTTTGTAATAAATATTAGATGGATATGATAGCAAATGGTGTAGGATGAAATTTTCTTGAAAAATGAAACTTAATTGAATAATTTACATTGACGTTAAAATTCAATGACGAAGTTATAGTTGAGTCAAAGTTAACAACAGAAGTTAGCAGGAAACTCTATTTTGCTAATGAAGAACTCATTTTAGACATCACGCTCGTCTATCTTCGTAAGGAGACACTTTCTGATTTCTCATTTGTATTTTTAAAGTTTAATGATAAAATTAAAGTTTACTTTGTGAGACTAATTACTCCAAAGGCCATGTTAATACTCACGCCATTAGCAATTTAATTCAATTTTTGGTCGGTGTTCCAATCAAATGGTAAAACGCTCGGGAAAATTTTAACAAAGACACGAAGTAAAATATCATTGAAGTAAAAAATTGTTTGATATCGAATTTCTTTTATATGAAACTAAAACGGAACAGGATGCCAAAAAAGAGGAATTGAATGAAAAAATTGAAGAATCCAATGCAATTCTCAAAAAATAAAAATCAATTCTCACGAATTGTCAGGGAAAATAGAACATTTCCTTTGTTGACGATGCTCAGCTATTGTTTCTGTAAAAGCATTCGATAGCTTCTCCCACATGTGCTGGCATACGGAAATTTAGCGGGAAACGACTGTATCTCTTGTGCTGCTGCTGCTTAGACTAGAGAATGGATCGGGGTATCGATAATAACGTGCAAACGTGTTTGAGATAGTTGCTATAGAATTCAGTAGAGAGAACAAGAGAGACGAAAATGGTCCATTGTCGATAGCGCGGGGACTCAGCTTTGTTCATTGTTCACGTGCGTGGGTGCACGTCGAAGCCTCTCCTTTATTCTGGTCTCAAAGTTAAATTAAGTTTGCGTCGGGAGAACGCTTGAGTGTGCACTACCCTCTTAGGCAGTGTGTGAATGTCATCTTTACATGGATTTTTGTAGACGAGGAAAAATGTGAAAGAAGAAACGATCGGAGAGTATAAAAGGATGTATATTCGTGTATGAAAAGCGATCAAGTCAGATCAATGGAAGAAGAAGATGAAGAAATATGTGAAGGTGTAGTATGTGAATAGTATATTATGACCCAAGGCCAGAAAGTTGAATTTCCCTTATATCACACGCACCGGGGCATTCAACTTCTTTGGCCGTGTGTCGTATAATAAGTTCGATAATCACTTGATAAGCTAAACAGTTGTATGGGAATGCCCGCCCGACTTTTGCAGAGCCGAGGCGAAGGCGAGGTTTTTGCCGGTCGGGGGCGGGCATCAGCAAAAAAGTTTAAAGTCAGGAATTGGTTTAAAATTATTTATACATAAATAATAGTAACACTCATTACAGGAAACTCAAATGTTAACCAACAATAATACTATTATACTATGTTTATAGTCTTGATATAAAATTATTCTACATATTTCATAAAAAGAAATTAAAAGTAAAATTGAAAGTACAATCGTTGAATGTACAATTTTCAAATTTAATCCGTTTTTTTAAAAATATTTTTATCTTATTCAATCAAATAAGAATATTAAGCGTTGTCTTTGGTTCAAGAACTAGACGAGTCTTAGTCTAATTTTTATTTATTTCAAGCAAGTACAATTTGTCAGATATTTACATGTAATTGAAATATATTTAATGGTTGTGTATGATGGACATTGTAATTTTATAGAATTACAATGTCCATCATACGAATTAGTCAATTTTTGGATATGATACATTTTTAGTTGCTCTAAAATGAAATAGGATGGAGAATACAATCACCTCTACTTTACCCTATACGTAAGTAAATAGGTAAAATATATGACAGCACTATGAAGATGTTCAAATTTGCCGTACTTGGCTGTGAATTCTAAGCTATAATTTTCTATTCCAAAGAATAATTCTATGGTTATTCATTATTAAATACAAATTTTATTTTTTGACGAAGTTGTCATGTCTAATTTTTTAAAAAGACTTGAAAAACTCATCTTAAGTTATTTAAGTCCTCTATAAGCCCTGGAGTCAGAGTTTACTACTAGAGAAACATGAAAAAAGCAACTGCCGAATCTCCATAATTTAAAAATTTAAAGAGTAAAGCATAAAAGGCTGAAAAGCGTGTTCTAAGACATGCAGGACAATACAAGCAGGATATTCACGAAAGAATACATAAGAAAGAGGAGAAGTGAGTCACGCTCGCCTCCGTGTGTCCATGATATCCGATACGAAACCTGTATTTCCTCCTCCCTCATTCTCCATGTTCTTCCTATACTACTGGGCTCTTGGTAAATAAGGATCCTTCGTCCAACAGCTTGTGATATCGTTCAAACAATATACCTAGCGGTCACGAAAGCGTCGTTCACCTCCTTTTTCAACACCTCAGTCTTTATCGCTTTCGAATAATCACGAACTGCCTTTAGATATTACAAAAGTTTTTTTATCACACACTGACATATGGCTATATAGCCACTGAACATGCTGAAAGGCTAAATAATAATACATACTCGAATAACAGTCCTATAATTTTTCATCATAAAGTATTTCTCATTTATTTGGCATAAATTAAAAATTGATTTCTTGTTAATCGAAGTAACGTTGGGTATATATCACTTTTAACATAAGAAATGTGTGAAATTATCACAACTATTTTTACATATATAAAATAAGCATTTTTAACCGATAGTGTAGCTGTCATGATGATAAATATAAGACAAGTCTTGATCTTTTATATTTCTGGTTTCAGGTCTCCAGGCGGAGTTATTTTACGTAAGAGAAGGAGTTATAAATGAGTATGCCATCAAGTTTGTCGTACCAGTGCCTGCACAAGTCCATAAGCTTCATTTCACATGGGAGAATCTTGCAGGACGACCGGTAAGTATCTATTTTCTATGTATGACAATGCATTTTACGCTACTTTGACATTATCACATTTAGTATCATTAGATAAATATTGAAATGGTTCACGTGTGCATATATGACTCAGTAAAATAACTTGGTACGTTGACTCGAATTTAAAACGATCGTTCCACTTGCCTGGACACCTTCACGACTTTTGGATCGACAATGATCGGCTTGTTCAAGCTTGACTGCTCGTTGGAGTCATTCGATATTTCATATAGTTCTTGTTTCGATTTCTCTGTACATCATTTACGGTTTCTTTTACTCAGATCAGTGATGCATATCCTTCTGAAGCGAAGACAGCTTGTCGTTATTCGCATCGTTCTACTTGTCGGCATCACAAGAAACTCAAAAAAATACCCTGACTTTTTCAAATATAATATGCACGTTTAATATGTTACATGGAATCTGATTTTCATTCTTTTCTTTATGCTCTAACTCTTCTACAAATGCAGTTTAAATGGAAATTTGCACTAGAACAAAGAATTATTACTGGCTTAAAGGGGATTTTCTTCCTGCATCGTAGTCAAATACTGATGGATAAAAAGTTGAAAAAAGTGCATAATTATGAGTTAAATTCAAAAATGGAGGTATTAATAGTAGGAAGTACTTTTTGATGAATTACGATGTTTCTTTAATTTATTTCATTACTTAATTTCTTTGATTGATTAATTTATTTTGAATCATTTTGACTATATTAGAAACTTATTATTATTTTTTTTTACATATTATAGGGCTGAAATTAAGCATATGTTCATAAACGAAAATTCAAAACGGGTATCGTGATTTTTATGTGTTCGCACTTTAATAGATTATAAATGCGCAAAGTCAAAGGTTTTTGCTTTGAGAGCTCATAACAGTGAAAAATACTTGTAGAAACATTCCAACAAATAATTTCAAAAAGGAAAAGGCAAGCTTTTAAATACTCTATCCAGATTTCTGATAAAAAGTTTTTCTAAACACCTTTAAATTTGCAGAAAAGATTAAAGGATTTTTAAAATTTTTCTTTTAATTCTACTTTTAAATGGCAATAGAAGTTAAAAGGTTTTTTACATAATCCTATCTATATATTTTTCAAGAACACGATAAAACCACTGTTAGATTAAATCGTGAGTTATCAAAGTCCAATTATTTTAAACAAACAAGATCAAAGTTCTTTGAATTCATCAACTAAAAGATTAACAATGAGTTATCCAAAGATGGTAATATTTATAAACTTTTGAGGTCGTAGGGTAAAACTTTCAGCTATTGCGAATAAAAAAATAACAATAGCAGTCATGATTATATTAATTACAACACTGATATAGTTTTATTACAGAATATAAATAATTATTGTTTCTTGAACCTATATGAAAAGAATTTAATCTTGGAATATATTCAGAAAATATTATTTTTTGTCGTAAAAAATTTACCTGTATTACGAATAAATTTTTAACCAATTTTTTCGATCTAGAAATGATTTTTAATTATAAACTTTGCTCAGTATTTCTTTCTATGGTAATACTATATAAATAACTTACAAACAGCATATTTATCTATATCGATTTTTATCATTATATTTCTATAAAAAAGCCTCAGTTGCTACAAATGAATAAGATAATTAATGACTGCAATTATGGAATACATGAGTGTAATGTTCTACATGTAATTCGGGTCATGCATTTCTTATGTTTATTGGCAATTTGTCTTACAATAACGAGCTAAAGAATCCTTTTTTCATGTTTACTCTTTCATTAATCTTTTCTCTCAAGTCTCGTGTGTTTCGGAGGCTCAAACAGTCGGATAATGTCAATTAACGAAATAGAAGGTGAACTAAGTGATCCAAGAGACTTCTGAGTATGTGACACAGTGTCGGATTGACTCGTCCAGTTATCAGCGCATGAAGAAACGTGAGGGTTTGTGAGTACGACAAAGTGGTCTGGCCACTTCTTCTTCTTCTTTATCCTTTACCTCATTCGGGCTTGTTGGTCATGCACACAAGGCTGATGCTGCAGTCAGACGAGAAAAAGAAGGAGAGAAATCCGGAGAAAGAGTGACGGCCCGTGCCGCGACATCCGTCACCTCGCGACAAAACCCAGTCCGTCCCTAGTTGCTTTAAACGAATCGACCTGTCTGTCAAACTGGACCGCACCTTGTCTCAGAGATGCAATGGAGATCACTTTCGTACATCAATTCAATGGAAAGCGAATAAAGAGGAAGAAAAAAATTTTTGTTTGCTTCTCTTCTTGACAAATCGCTTGTATTCACTATGTTTTTTCGTTACAAACTGAATTTCCTCCTTTTATCAAGATTACAATTTGTCATAATAATAGTGTTTGAAAAAAAGACATTAAGTTGGTTAAAATATACAGGGGCCGCGATTAAATTTTAAACAAATTTTAATTTTCAAACTCTTAAACTTGTATTTAAATTGTTTCCAGTTGCCATACACGATGTCAGTGGACATAAGCAACCCGTCGGCACTAAGTAGCTCTTTAAATATTTCTCAAGCCGGCGAAATTCCCGTGGGTGGACTCCAAACTTGGGCTTTAGCTCTTCACTGCGGACCATATGACGCGGAAGTGGATTTTTCTCTCCGCATAAATGTTGCACAAAACCGAAAGAATACCACAAGTCTAGAAGTACGTCGTAAGAAGATTTGTTTGAAAGACAAAAGCGGACATCCTGGACCTGAAGAAGTACTTGTAGCTGCCCCTGGAACAACTTCTGGTGGTCAAATATTTTATGCAGCTGTAGGATGTGCTTGTGCATTCTTAGCAGCGATTCTTGTTCTTGTTGGTGCTTACTATGTGAGAGATAAGAAAGCTAGAAGGCATAGAGATCCTCTACAGTGAGTCTATTTTCTTTACCTAATTAAAAGAGTTGTAAAACAAATAAATAAATAAAGAATAGAAACGAAAAGTATAAACTTCAGAGGTTTGTTTTTGAAATAAAATAAAAACTAATGATTTCTCTCAGGGAATCTAGAGGACTCAGTTCAGCATGCAGTGTTGAAAGGGGTACAGGAATTGGACCAGCTCAAACCTTTTTGTCACCGGAAACACCCCCACCTCCCTCAAGTGCTTCCGCTTCAAGCTACAGAAGACTTGACGAACGACCTAGCCGCGAATTGCATGAAAGGATCCAGGAAATCACTGTTCAAAGGTAAATAAATTAAATACATATTTGTGTATAGACAGAAAATTATTTTTATAAATAAAAACACTCTGTCTAAGAGTTTTAATTTAATTCAATTTATAAAAGTTACTAACTAAAATTAAAGTTATTTACTCGTATTTTAATTAATGTAGATACAAGACTGTTAATTTATATCTGAAGTAAAATTCCATCTTGATTTTTTTATTCATTCAGTAATAGATCAACATTATTTTTATTAATCACTGTTGCAAATACTAAAAAAAAAACTCGAGGATTTTGGTTAAAAAAACTGTTTAATAAAGGTATTGCTCTGATCGAGAATATATTCTTCTGGTTTTAAAAATAATCTTTCCCATCAACGTATTTTAAATTCAACTTGAAATTCATACATTCAGTCATTCTCAAAGTAAAAAGCAAGTCGGGAACGTCAAAATGTTTTAATTTTAAAATGTAACAAAGAGAAAAAATTAAAAGAAAATAATCGAAAGAAAACAAAAGCTGTCTTTGATCTTATACTAACAATAGATTATAGGTCGAGTAGAAACGTCAGTTGCTAAAAGTTTTGATGCTGCAACCAGTGTAAAATGATGGTCAAGAAGTCACGTAGTAGTTGCTGTACTGCATACACAAACCTCTCGATCCCGATTTTATCGTGTGCGATCGATCGAAAAAACGTGTTTGAGTAGTTTATTCCCAAAATAAATTTTAAAGTTTAAAAGAAAATTCTTGTGACCGCATAAAACTCCAACTTCTAATTATTAATAAGTCTGATACTTTTAAAGATATATTTTCGATGGCCTCATGTGTGACTGAATAGGATGTTACATTCCACACTAGAACCGCCTTTTTGAATATCACTCAGTAGTGTGTGTGTGATGTAACACAAGTGTCTTTTTGAGCACACGCACGTGTCATGAGTAATGAAGATTGATGAAACGCCCAGGGGATTTTCATAGAAATTCCCAACGCGTTCTACTAATTTTTGGAATTCTATCTACGCATTGATTTATGCATAGGATGTTCAAAAATGCTACTGTCTCAAGTGATTTTGATATTCATTGCTAAATTGTATTGGACATTTTGATGGATTTATTCCACAAAAAGTAGTTTTTATTAAATTATAATATAATTTATTCTTGAATTGCGATATCGAAGTTATGTTATAAGGATTTAATTAAAACTATCAAATTATCAAATTGTATTTTACATTATTTCTGCACTACTTCCATCATTCTTCATCATTCAATTATTGGTTTAGGCTTAAATGTAAATCCTATAATTCGTTAATTATAAAATTTATTGAATAAATTTAATAAAATGTTTTTGAAATTACATCATTCAATTTTCAACAATATCTGATATTTCTTATCGCTATTATTCTTCAGTTAGCTATTATTGTCAATATTAGCTCTTTCAACAATATAAGCACTTTTATTTAAATGCCAAGAAATCAAAATTAATTAACAAAGTTTCAAGTACAGTTTTAAACTAGACTGGTTCATGCTGTTCAATTAAAAGTATTTATTAAAATTTATTGTTTAATAAAAAATCTACAAACTTTTTTAATAAATCATTGGCTAATCCATAATATCTTATCTTTTAAAACAAAATATTAATTATCAAAAACTTATATAAAATCTTATTTCTTTTTTTCTTCTTCAGATGCCGTGTGAGACTTCTCAGCATCGAGATGGAAGGAACCTTTGGTCGAGTGTATAGAGGAAGTTATCACGAAGAAGGAGCTCCAGCTCCCAGAGATGTTCTAGTAAAGACTGCAGCTGAGCATGCCTCTCAAGCTCAAGTGAGTCATTGGAAGAAAATATGATAAAAGTTTCTCTATAAAAATAAAAGTGATTTCTTTTTCTTGTCTAAAATTTTAAATTGAATTATGTCTAGTTTTTTTATCCCTTCCAAGAATTCAATTTTTATCCTATTTTAGTTATCTATTTGTTTTCTATTGCTCAGGTGGCTTTACTCCTCCGGGAAGGTTTAGCACTTTATGGGTTGAGCCATCCAGCCTTATTACCAGTTCTTGGTGTATCAATTGAAGACAGAAGTGCTCCATTCCTTCTTTACCCACGAACAGGGTACAGAAATATGAAGAGGTTTTTGCTAAGGTGCAAACTGAGCAGTGAAGGCCCACCAAGAGCTCTTACGACGCAGGAAGTTGTCGAGATGGCACTTCAAGCTGCCAAGGGTGTGCAGTACTTACATAGAAAGCGACTCGTACACAGAGATCTTGCTGCAAGAAATTGTGTGTAAGTATTTTTTGGAGATTTAACAACAATAAGACGATATGAAATCGTGTGTACTAAAACTGTTAAAGTAAATGAAATATTGTTACGTATATCATATTGACATGAAAGAAAACCCTTTCGTGGAAAGTAAAGTCATTGCCTTCTTGTTATCGATTCAATTCCGCACTCTGAATTAACCTTGGGCACGCCAATGTTATATGAACACGCCTCAAGACTCCATAATTAGAGGGTTTGTTGAGATAAAACACTACACACGCCAATCATCAAACTGTTCTTTATTTATTCAAGAGAAACGATCAAGCTTGTCGATTAAATCGTATTGTCCAAAAGTTAATACCAGCTTGTAAGAAGAATAACATAACAAGAATGTGAAGAAAAAATTTATGTTATTTAAAGAAATGTTATTATGACTTTCCGTTATTTTTTTAATGCTATTTTAATTAATGATTGAATGTGCTTATTCATTTTTTTTTCTATGTCGATTAGGGTGGACGATGACCTAAGAGTACAGATTACAGACAACGCACTTTCAAGAGATCTTTTCCCACAAGACTATCACTGTCTCGGTGATAATGAGAACCGGCCAATAAAGTGGTTGGCGATTGAGAGTCTTCTTAGTAAGACTTTCACAACTGCTTCAGACGTGGTAAGTACTCTACTACAAATATGATAAATATTTTAAAAAATAAATGACAATTAAATAAGCCATTTTCATTTTTAAAAATTTAAATAAAAAAGAAAGTTTTATCGTTAAAGTTTATTTTTAATTAATGAAATAAAGTGTCAGATATTAAAATATTCACTTTTTTCAGTGGGCATTTGGTGTACTCTTATGGGAATTGACGACTCTCGCACAACAACCATACGTGGAAGTAGATCCATTTGAAATGGCTTCCTACCTCAGAAACGGCTATAGGCTCGCACAACCGATAAACTGTCCCGACGAGTTGTTCGCAGTTATGGCCTATTGTTGGGCCATGTCACCAGACGAAAGACCTACGTTCAGTCAGCTTATTGTTTGTCTTCAAGAGTTTCACACTCAGCTAACTAAATACGTTTGAATGATTAAGTTTTTTCGTTAGCCTCTATTGTATAGAAGACTGTTAAAATTGTCAGAATATTTTCTGGCATGCAAATTTCTCTGTAACGGGAAAGTTTTAATGTATATATTTTATTAGTACTTATGTGAATATATATTTTCCCTAATGTTGTTGTTCCGCTTGACAGAAAAATCAAGAGCGCGTTATAAAGTATAGGAGAATATGAACAATTATTCTAATGAAATAAGTTGTGAATATCCATGTAAAAGTGAATGAGATAGTTATAATTGGAAAAAGTAGATTCTATGGATTTTTCATTTCTAAAGATCTTTTGAAGCGCCTAATTTTGAAATAACTAGATGCTTTATTCTTTACTAGTAATTTTACGTTATATAAAAACTTAAATTATTTAAAATTTTGACAATCACATGAATTAATAAAAATTTCTAAGGTAGTACAATTTTTCAAGTGATTACATAATGAATAGTGATTTCAATTATTAAAAATATTATCTAAAGCCAGTGTGAATATGATCTTACGTTTAAAACGACAAATAAAAAAATTTAAAAAGATGGTATACCTTGAAGGTGCTTAAATGCTTTGTGTGTCCTAATACGAAAAGAAAATTCTAAATAAAAATAATAAACGCAGACAGTTTGCATAGCAACGACAAAAAAACAGATAAATAAATTATGATCTTTTGCAATACATGTTCAAGAATTGTTTCATCAAATAACTAACAATTCTTTAAAAAAATGATTATTAAATAAATTTTTGCGTGGATACTCATACTAATAAAATTATGCCAGCCCGGTGTTCATTGTAGACAGTATAAGAAAATAATTTTGCTTACATTGTGATTGTCTGTAATAGCACTGTCAAAAGTATTCAATACCAAGTATTAGTCTATGCCAAGAACAAAAGAACCTCTTTAAAATGTTAGATTATGTAGAGATCTGTATGATGTGATAGAAAATTCGCTTAAGGCTGCCGCAGTTATCCAACGTGCCAATTTTTCGTATTTTTGTATATATTTACTTTCAAAATCTATACTTTAAGTTATGATAAAGGTTATATAGATTATAATTATGATAGCAGGGTTGTGAAGCCATTATTAAAGACTGTAAATATTGAACAGATACATATATTAACATACATTATATTATACAACAAAAAATAATGCGCTGTAAAAATACGCGTTTTATTATATTAACAATAAATTTATTTCATCCTGTAATTTTTTTGTCCATTTCTTGTTCATTCTTTTTTTCGTAACTCTCCTTTCTCATCTGCTGGGTTACAAACTAACTTGTGGAAGACATAAATCTCAGAGATTTTCTGCGTCTCCGCGAGGCACATGCTCAATGACGGCGTACGAGTTATTTCCGGCCATTGGATCATCCCTCCAGCGTTGTTTAAGAGCATTACATGTCTTATAAAAAAGAAAGTTTGACTTTACGTGTCTTGAATCCTAAAATAATCCGTCAAACCATAAGATAAGTCATGTTTTCAGTGAGTCTTGTAATTCGTTGGAGGCGTTGGGTGACGAAATTAATGAAACCCCCCACATCTAACGTCTTGTTTAAAATGACTAATGTTTCCTCATAATTTCTCTTAAATATAACTATTTTTTTTTTGCTTCAAGACATTTTCCGTTTTTTTTCTTTTAATTTTTAATGGAAAATTAAAGTGTTTCCTGACAGAATGAAAAGCCATCATCATTTCATATATTGAAGAATTAAATTTGGTTTGGATGACAATTTTTTTTCATGTTCCATTAACTTTTTTCCATAGCTGTTAATTTTTTTTATGGATTAACAATCAACAAAACAATGCATAGCTTTTGCAGTATGAGAACAATGAGTTAACATTTATTTTCTAATTTTAATTCTTTATCATTTCAATTGGTTTGTTTACGAAAAACATCACCAATCAAACTACAGTGGTTTAGTGTTGCACTAATTACAGTTCGTTGAACTGCCTCACCCTTCATATATCGATTTTCGTGAAGTTCAATTGATTCCACTAATAGTGAATAATGCAGAGGAAACGGATCTCTGTCATTTTCCGGTTGATCCGAGTTCACGACCTCGTGTTCGAATAGATTTGTAGGACATATTCTGTCAAAATATCCAGTTCATCATCTACTGTGTACGATTAGTAATTGTATCCTGAAGTTCTCCAGTAAAGCACGGGTTCGATTAGTTATGGTACATTAGCCCTATTTCTTTCATCGACTATCCTAATGTCTTTCTATGCCATAGAAAAGAGATGTTTGAGTTTGCCAAGGTATTAGTAAGCGTAAAATTGAAAGATATAAAAATCATTTATCTCAAATAAAATCGTATTCTGAATATTTTTTATATGTATTGTCTTTTTAAATTAGATTTTCTAGATTTTATCGCTACTCTGTAAAGAAACAATAATGATTATAATTAATAATAATTATTTAATTTTATGTTTCCTTTCACAAAGTAAAGTTGTTCATGACCAAGAAATAAAAAAATTAACAATCATACTTGTTGAAGTAGTGAAGTTATTCTTGTAGTGAAACGTTTACCTCAGACTTGGGAATTTTTTACGTAACGATGTATCATTGAGATACATTATAACCACGCACACATTTAATCACCTCCTAATTGCATATTTGCTTTTCTTCTAACTCTACTGGTGTGGGATAAAAATATATATCCTTTTGAGAGTCTTAAGTAAGGATTTACTCACTACAATTCAACCTATAATTTCGTTCTTAAATTGGCTAATATAAATGTCATTATTTGTAACATCTAATAATTCTTATTTCAAAGATATGCATAATTTTTTTGTTTATTTTATGATGTGAAGACATAGTATTTCGTGATCTTTCATTAGTATTACCATTAAGAGATCAGTTTTTGTAGGCACATGAGTTCAAGTCTTGAGAAAATGTATGTCTCTCAATATCTTTTAGAATTTTTTAAAATTCTAAAAAATATTTATTCTCCGGTTTTTGTCGTTTTCAACCTCAATATGTTTTTAATTATTAGAGTAATAAATAAAGAATCTCTGATATCAAATAGAGATGGTTGAAATGAATAAAGTACAATTTAGAGAACAAGAAAGTGTTTATTGAAAACACCCTGTAATTATAGACCTACTCTTATGTAAGCTGCATTTTCACGGTTTAAGTCAAAAGGTCCCAGGGACACTTCAAAGCCTTTCAAACCACATGCAAAAGTGCCCTGTTAATGAATTTCAATGGACTACGTAGCTTGCTGGACACCCCGTCTGGGGGGTTGCGACCCTTTGTTTGCTTGAGCCTTAGTCAAACATTAAGAGCTTGCGACGTTATCTGAAATTGCTTTAAGCCACCTACATGCTGCAATCACGAGTATCCGGAGGGTGCATTTCGCTGGGAAGAGCACCCTCTTTACATTGCTTTATTTTAACACGTACTTGTCCTGTCATGTACATAAATGAAACTCTGGCACAATAATGTCATTTATGATCGTCCTTCCTTTCTCAACGGCCCATTTTCAATGGACTCAGTTAGTAACAAGAGTTTTAGCGGTCCTCTTTAGTTCAATCTCTCCTGGTTAATATGTCTATGATAATGATTTATGGTTTCTAACTAGACGTAATGAATCTTAAAAAGTATTTCTTGACAATCAGTAGTTTCTTCGGAGAAGTATAACGTTTAGAATAGCTTATACCGTCATAATGCATGAGATAAATAATGTTTATTATGAAAATAAATCAAGCTATTGATAAAGGAGAAAAAAATTAACTGGGCCACTTTGAAAAAAAGCTAAGTTTATTCTTGTATACCACTCGACCCTCGTAAAATGATGATGAGCATGTATTGATTAATTAGTAATCTATGTCAACCATCCTTAGATATCACTTTTTTTATTTTTTAATTTTAGAGCCCACTTTGCAATTAAGGTACTCTATAAAAAAAATTATTCAAGTCAAGTGCAAGAGGTTTTATTTTTATTACGACACTTGAAGAGTCCTCGAGTATGTAATTTCCTTATCGTTTTTATTACACATCCGAAAGTCATTATCCCTCCTAATAAACATTATGACATGCGATATTTCTTTTATTATTTATAGAAAATCAGTATCTTACAAACAGTGCTGGAAATTGTGTCACATTTTTATTTGAAAATGTTTCGAATTTTTATTTCTTCAATTATACCAATCATTGTGGTGATAAGTAGCATTGATGGTATTCAGGTGTCAGATAAAATAGATTTGGGACCAGAAACGAAACCTTTGCCACGAATTGATCTAACATCGAACTCATGCATTGATTGCAGTGTAATCTATAAAGATGGAAAGAAAAATTTTAGATCTAACATCAAAGGAGATGAAATCTTAAGAAAAGGCGTTACTACCAAGTCGAGATATCCACAAAATAAACCCGATTCAGTGAGTATATTTCAGGAAAAAATAATAACAGTTATTAGTCAAAACAATAGATAATTTATTTTTGTTTTTCTGTGGTCCACGTGTGTTCAATTTACTAAAAAATATCTCATAAAAAATGGCAGATGAATATCGTTAACTAAAACCGCTTGCAATGTTCCACAAATTTATTACACACCGCAATCATTCAACGAAACGACCTGTCCCACGACAAGTGAATTCAAAATAGATTTTTAGGCTGGAACGCTCGTAAAACTCATACATCTTGTTATGGATTTATAGCAAGCTATGGAAGAACTGTAAATACATTTGGAAACTCTTAAAGTTACGAGCGAAATGTGTACATTGATCAGAGAAATTCCAATTGATTAGTAAAATATTTTGTCGATTAGCTTTTCTTGTATCTATAGAATCATTCGGAAGAAATCTTACATAAATTTAGGATTAAAAAAGATCTAAAAGAATATGATTTCTTCCGATAAATTCTTGGAAATCATTGAAAACTAATTTCAGTGATTTTTCATGAGAGTTTGTAGATTAGAATTTCCAGGACCATATGGTATTAAAGAAATGGAAGAAATTCTTGTGATTTCCTAGAAATTACAATAGAGACTTTTCTGATTTATTTTGCTATCATTTTTAGCTTTTTTTTGTTTATAAATGTTGATGAATCTTGTTGTTTTTTAGAGTTGCAGTGGTCTAGATGTAACAGTCATTAACAACATCCAACTAGTTCTAGATAATAATGAATCAAATATTATTCCAATTAATCAACGAAATTGTCAGAATAACATCTGTGCCGCGTCTGCGACGACAACGAAGGATCAGCAAGGAAATTTAGTAACGACCGTAAACTTAAAGATAATTACTAAAATGAAGGACATTAAAGTTCATGATGTTCCAGTGATTGATGGTGTCCGTGGACTTTATCCATTAAATAATTTTAATCCAAATCATAAACCAAATAAACCTCAGGTACTTATTTTTGTAGTTTTGATGGTTTGTGTATTTCAATAGTGTCCCTTTTTTGTCTTTTTTTTTATTTCTATTTCAAGATTTATCGGCAAAATACAAATACTTTTCAACCTTCATTCGGAGTTCCAAAGACTTATTTTTCTCGACCGCACACGGATTCATTTTATTTTTATAATCGTGGTATCAGTAGAGAAGAATCTCATGGACAGAGTCCTTGGATGACTGGCAGAGATACGATAGATGATAAAATTGAACCGCCGTTAAGTAAAACTACAACGAATGACCAGCAATAAAATTCTTTTTTTGTTTAAGAGATTGTCATCAGTTTATACTTTATAATAAATATTATACGATATGCAAAATTAAAAAACATTTTATGTGATCGATATCTGTTAATTTTGAAAAGTATTTTCTTATGTAAAATTAGTATTATTTTGTTTTTCATATGTTACATCATAGTTGTTATTGTTGAAAACATGATAAAATTATACAATAAATTTTAATTTTAAAATAATATTTTATTAAATGACCTCATAAAAGAAGAGAAAAATCAACTTGAAAAATTAATTTACAATCTTTCAATTTTGCAGATAAAATCTATGAATCCCAATGGTGATGTAAAATAATTTGTATTCATCGAAATTAAAATTTTTCAAAAATTATTGTTCAAAGAATAACGCTAATTATATAATAACACATTGACTAATAGAGTTGATAAACATTCTTAATGAATACATAGTTTTAAAATGTTCAAGAACAAAAAATTTTGAAAATTAGAAAAATGAAAATCTAAGGATCATGGATGGTCTTGACAGAAACTTTGCCATTATCATTAACACCAGTAGTAACTGTTTTGTGACTGATAACTTTGCCATCTGGTCCAATTTGAGAACTGGAGCTTGATTGAGAGAAGGTTGCGTAAGAACCACCACCTCCACTCGCTGGAAGATCCTCAGCAAAACGTGATTGGATATTGGGATTAGCCTAAAATAAGCAAATAATATTGATTAACATATTTCAAAAAATATTATTTATCTAATAATGGTTTTTTATCAAATAAAAAATTATTCTTACCGGTCCAAAAGCACCAGCTTGGTGACTTCCTTGGGGACCAGCATTTGAAGAGCCCCAAGCCCATGATGAACCTGATCCTACGCCTGGTCCTACCCCAGGTCCTGCACCTCCAGCACTAAATAATAAACATTTGATTAGTGTTTCAATCGTTAATCATATATTACATATTATACAAGGGAAAAATTATAATAGCCAGGCAATAACATTTAAAGCAAACACATTGTACTGAAAGCCGTAATCATGAACATTTCTTTGCTGAATGAATTCCGACTAATGTAATTGAATCATTATGTTAAATTAACCATCACCTATACGGATTTCCATAGTATGCCGGGTTATTTGGCTGATTGCCATAATTGTCGGAGATTCTAGTACTGCCAACTTGAGTGCGACTATAGGTTAATGCGGAAGGATCTACTTTACCATAATTGTCTGTCATTGAGGCAGAAGCTCTCGCCCAGGAACCTTTAATCCTTTACACAAAATTTAAGAACACGTATAACCAGCATCACATATAAATGTTAAACACAAATATCCATAACAAAATTACGTTACAAAAATACTCAACATAATTCTAAAAAAGCTTTTATAAATCAATAGAGAAAATTACTTACTCAGGTTGATTCAATGAAGGATCTTGAACCCAGTTAGGAAAACCTGGCCCAAATCCGAAATCTAATAAAAAACGAAAAAGATTAATTCGTTTCAATATTGATTTACAATTAGTTAGTGAGCAAATCAACATTAATAATAAATTATTATTAACTAACTTTATTAGGCAATTAGTAGTTTTCACATTTTCATGCAAAATCTAAGTCATTAAATGCAGGTAAAACCTGTTTCTTACAGTAACGATATTCATGCATATTTTATGGCTATTATATCTATAATGAATTATCACAATACTTATAATACGTATTGATAGTCAACAATTTACAATTAAATCATGGATTGTTCAATTGCCACGTAATTATTAGTCTTTTGTTTTTCATTCATATGCATTAATATGTCATGCATTAATGTACATGCAAGTAATTATTTGAATGATACTTTTTATCATTATTAGATGCTTTTCATGCATTAGACCCATTATTATCCATCAGCAGCCTATCCTTTACAATGATTCTCCAAGATGTTTTATTCCTTTTGTGTTTTCAACAATACCTCTCGGAAATCCATTTAATTCATTATTTGCGCCGAACCTTCCCATAAATGATGGCCATGGGAATTGTGGAAAACTGGACCCTCCTGCTCCAGCATTTGCGGAACTGCTAGCACTTGCACTGGCGTAACTTCCGGCTCCTACCGGATTGCCGGAGTTTGAATTGATTGGTACTTGACCGTATGAAGGATTATTATTCGATGGATTCAAATTGAAAGAAGTAGAGCTACCAAAGTTACCAGACATAGATTTAGAATCAGAATCAGATCGAGAAACCTTAGAGGAAGGTGAATCATCCATATCGAAATTACCAGAAATACTGATTATTGGTGTGTAACCTGAAGGATTAGATTGAAAAGAAGGAGAGCTTGAATCAGAAGGTTTGTCAGTTTTTAAACTTGGATCTGATGGAGAATTAGGTACTAAGACGCTGTTAGGGTCAAATCCAGAATTACTGAAGTTGGGAAATTCAAAGTTAGGCGTATTAGGAAAAGATAGTGGAAGATTTGGCCAAGGCCAAACAGATCCAGAGAGAGCATTTGCATTCGCGTTTGCATTGGCAGTTGCCGTTGCACTCGAAGTAGCTGATGCACCAGCATTCGCTGAAGCAATACTAGATGCAGAACCGAAACCAAAACCTGGTGGAAATCCGGAAAAATCACCGAAACCACTTCCTGGTCCCATATTAGAACTTGGATACTTTAAAGGATTATTCGGAAAATTCTTTGAACTTATTGACGGATTCATTGGATTATTTACGAGTTGTTTTGAATCATCTTCTGGTTCTGTATCGGCAAATCTCGGTGAGAAATCTGGTAGTGGATCTGAGTCAGGATCTTCTGACGGATCTTGATTATCTTCTTCTTCATTTTTTTCAGGAGTCTTTGGAGTTGGAGATGGACGCTTAGTTGGTCGACGTTTTGTATCATTTAGTCCTGTTTTTGATGGTTTTGAGGGAGTAGTAGAGGGTACTGGACCATTATTATACTCTGGTTCCTGATTTACAGGCTCTTCTGGATCTTCTTCAGGTCTCTCAGTGGTTATAGTTGTTTTTGGTCGAGACGATGGTCTACGAGGTTTTTTAGTTGGTTTAGGCGTTGGTGCAGGTGTATTTTCATCATAGTCAGGGTCTTCATCATTAGGTTCTTCAGGCTCTTCATCCAACTCTTCTTCTTCAGGACTCTCAGTTGTCGTGGTCGATGGTTTTCGACGAGGACGAACAGGTCGTCGAGGTTTTTTAGTTGGTTTAGGCGTTGGTGCAGGTGTATTATCATCATAGTCAGGGTCTTCATCATTAGGTTCTTCAGGCTCTTCATCCAACTCTTCTTCTTCAGGACTTTCAGTTGTCGTGGTCGATGGTTTTCGACGAGGACGAACAGGTCGTCGAGGTTTTTTAGTTGGTTTAGGCGTTGGTGCAGGTGTACTTTCATCATAGTCAGGGTCTTCATCATTAGGTTCTTCAGGCTCTTCATCCAACTCTTCTTCTTCAGGACTCTCAGTTGTCGTGGTCGATGGTTTTTGACGAGGACGAACAGGTCGTCGAGGTTTTTTAGTTGGTTTAGGCGTTGGTGCAGGTGTATTTTCATCATAGTCAGGGTCTTCATCATTAGGTTCTTCAGGCTCTTCATCCAACTCTTCTTCTTCAGGACTCTCAGTTGTCGTGGTCGATGGTTTTCGACGAGGACGAACAGGTCGTCGAGGTTTTTTAGTTGGTTTAGGCGTTGGTGCAGGTGTACTTTCATCATAGTCAGGGTCTTCATCATTAGGTTCTTCAGGCTCTTCATCCAACTCTTCTTCTTCAGGACTCTCAGTTGTCGTGGTCGATGGTTTTTGACGAGGACGAACAGGTCGTCGAGGTTTTTTAGTTGGTTTAAGCGTTGGTGCAGGTGTATTATCATCATAGTCAGGGTCTTCATCATTAGGTTCTTCAGGCTCTTCATCCAACTCTTCTTCTTCAGGACTCTCAGTTGTCGTGGTCGATGGTTTTCGACGAGGACGAACAGGTCGTCGAGGTTTTTTAGTTGGTTTAGGCGTTGGTGCAGGTGTATTTTCATCATAGTCAGGGTCTTCATCATTAGGTTCTTCAGGCTCTTCATCCAACTCTTCTTCTTCAGGACTCTCAGTTGTCGTGGTCGATGGTTTTCGACGAGGACGAACAGGTCGTCGAGGTTTTTTAGTTGGTTTAGGCGTTGGTGCAGGTGTATTTTCATCATAGTCTGGCTCCTCGTCTGCTGGTTCTTCTTCCTCAGGACCTACTGTGGTTGTAGTCGTCGGTTTTCGACTAGGTGGTATTGATTTACGAGGTTTCCTTATTGGTTTGGGAGCTGGAGTTGGTGCAGGTGTATTTTCATCATAATCTGGGTCTTCGTGTATTGGTTTTTCTGGTTCTTCATCTAGCTCATCTTCTTCAGGACTCTCGGTGGTTGTTGTTGACTGTTTTTGACGAGGTGGAGCTGGTTTACGAGGTCCTTCAATATTATTAGAGGATGTCGGAGATTTTGAAGGAGTTTTTGATTGTGGTCTTTTGTTAGGCGTTGATTTCTCAGACGTTTTCGGAGTAGGTGATGGTTTCACAGACTCAGATTCATCAGGATTCTCTTCATCATTGTCGGACTCTTTTCCATCATTATCATCATCTCGTTGTTTCCTTGGTTCATCTTTATTTTCCCCTCGTTCTTCGGTAGGCTCCTCCGATTTATTGTTATCTTTATCTTCAGGCTGTTCTTTGTCATTGGGATTTTTTCTATCTCCAGGTTTATTTGACTCATCTTCTGGATTTTCACTATTATTAGGATTTTCGTCTTCATTTAGAGTTTCTGAATCTTCATTTTCATCGGAGTTACTTGGCTTTTTATTTCTTTGAGGTTTCGAAGGTTTTTTAGCTGTTTCTGGTTTGTCTTCAGGTACAGGAGGAAGAGTAAATGCAGATTCCGAAGAAACGTCAATTTCAGGCATTTTTTCTAATTCAGGATCATCAGTCACAGAATTAGGATCTGTTGTAGATATCCATATAATCGGTTTTTCAGTCGTAGGTTTACGATTATTTCTATTCTGACCACCTGGAGGTGGTCGTCTAGGTTTAGTTTGAGGTGCTTTTTTACTTGGTGCTTTGGGTGCAGGTGGTTTAGAAGCAGCTGGAGGACCAGTATCAAGATTACTATTATCATCTGGATCCGGATCATCATAATCGGGAATAGCTTCATTAGATTTCATAGTTTTTTTATAATCCCGAGGTGCCGCCCGTTTCCATATCCTTGATAACATAATGTTGTCGTCAGTATGATCCACCAAAGACATTTGCAGTTCACCTTTGTGACAAAATGGAAGAGCACGACTTTTTTCGAAACATTGCTAAAGATATCATTTTTTATACATTCTGTTCATTTAAAAAATGTATAGGATATTGAATAAGCAAATGCAGCTGAAGCTATTTTAATGAAGATAAATATTAGTCTGTTGTATTCGTTTAAACAAAAAAAATCGCACTAAGTAAAAGCGTTTGAGTCGTTCGTAAATATCATGTTTTGGTTGAACATGTGTAAAAGCAGAATGTGTAATGTTTCGAACAATTCTATCGTAATTTCTCGAAAAAATTTATTTAAGTATTATAAAGATAAATTAATATCAGATTTTGTGATTTTTGGTTGAGGGAAAATAATAAATAGATTTTGTGCATAATTATGAATCTCGAAATTAAAAAAAATTGTTAATAAATTAATTAATCAATTAATGTTTAAATAAATTTAGAATAAAATGTAAGTATAATAAGGATTAAAATTTTTATCGATGCATTGATGAATTGTATTTTCAATTTGACACGTACCATCATCCCATGATCGCCTGACACGTCTTCCATTGACATCACTCATACTCATACAGACTAAAACAACACACAAGATGACCTTGATATCCATTTCTGGTGAAACAGGTTGCAAACACGAATGAAAGTGATCTCAGAAGTTGCAAAGAAATTTCGTTAAATATTTAAATGAATATTTATATATTTTTATGTATACAAGACTTGTTATTAAATAAAGTTGATACAGCAACGTATGCAAGAGAATGACTAAGTTCGCATGCTGAACGATCATCTTATATAGCTTTCAACATCAACTTGTTACCACCAGGTTCCCCCTTTGTCATCATTCTCATGATTATTCGTTTGTTTTCTCTAGAGTCAGATGACGGATGTTGTTTGGGATGAGTGATCTATTCAATCACTAACCTTGGCCAAAGTAATGATTTCATTGATATCTTAGTCTGTTTTATGACATTTAATAAATGTAAATTTCCTTGAATGTGTTTTTAAGAATAACACATTAATGGAAAATTATTTTTTATTGTATTATAATTGTCTGCATGTCTGTATATTTTACTTATCTTTTATAAAGCATACGTCTAAAAATTTTGGTTCAAGGAGATTATCGTTGCTTCAGGGAATCTGATGTCGTATGCACTAAAAGGTTATCAGTAAAACTGCAATAAGTGAAATAGTTATTTTTGAATCAGAAGAAACTAGACGATCGGAATTAATTTGTAACAAAATTTTATCATATTCCATTATTTCTCATAATCACTTTACTAAAATTATGTACATTTAGAGAGTACATCCATATTGATCAATTTTAAATAAATCTTTTCATTATTCATGTTGTTTTCGTTGTAGAATAATATTTATGTTTGCATTTAACGAATATTCATTTACTCTTGAAAAACAAATTTCAGGTTTATTCTTACTACGCATCAGCGTCATTAAGTTCATGGGAAAATACCCAATTTAAATACTTATGAAGATGATTGTCAAGGTCATCTTAAAAAAATTTAGAGAGTTATAAGAATTTTAAAAGTGAGAAAAAATCTATCGGATGTATCAGATAGATAAAATAACAATACACGAGTCTTTTATTAGATGGTAAATACTTCTCATGATTATTCATTTAATTGTTAAATGATGAAGCTACATAGGTAAATCAAGAGCCTGATAGTCGTGCATCCTGGTTAAAACGAGATAATCGATAACGATATCTATGACTGCAAAACGTATTTCTTTCTCCTCATAACAATAAAATCAGAAATACGTAAATCATTTAAATATATGTTTTCATAATTTTCATCGTTTCTACGATTGTAAGATAATTGATATGCTTGGATGCGAGTGATTGATTACTAAGAAGAATATTTAAATCAAGTAAAATATAATGACGTGACCGGGATTTACGTTTTTAGAAATATTCTTTAGAATTTTTGACCTGGCAATAATATTTTCTTCTTTTTCTACTTCTTTTCTTTTTTTGTCACTTTTTGAAGGGTCAACAATTTTCTAAAGCACTCTTCATTTTCGAGAATATTGTTAAAAGATATATATATATATAGAGAGTCTATACTTTTAAGGACAATGAAGCCTTACCAGTTTTTTAAGGCACATTGAGGAAAATTTAAAAAAAGAAGAAAGGTATAAAAGAAACAATACACTAACACGAAGATTGGACTAGGTTGGATAGAGACAGTAGATAAAAATGCTCGTTAGCCTAATGGCTTTTCTGTACATCTCCAATAGGTGCACAGGACCAGATATGCTCCCTATATAAACCAGTTCATGGTAATCTGGAGCTCAGTAAGAAATAAATCGTTCGCTGGCTTCTAACTTTTTTTTGGGAAATAGTCGTGATATTGTGAGAATATTAGAAAATTATAAAAATGATCCGATTTGTGATTGCTCTAGGAATAATTGCTTTTTGTAGTGGAGTTCACGGTGAGATTATTCATGCGATAATTATAACGCTGCTTTTGTTTACTGATAATATAAAGAGCATGATTAAACTTGACGAAATATTTATCTGAATATTACAGGAATTCCAGTAATGAATGGAGTGAGAGCAACTCATCCGTCAGCAATAGAAGATCCGAAAACCAAAGATGAGATTAGCATTCAACCTTCGTGGTCATTCCCCTCTATTCCACCAATGAATCGGCTTTTCCGCAACGTTGAATTTGATGAGAACGAAATCGAACTATTAAAACGACGAATTGAGAATTTGGAAAGATCTCAAAAAGAGATTTATGAATTGATGAAGAAGATTCTCCACAGTAATTAAATTTCAAAATTTTACTTATTAAAAAATTGAGTCTTTTTTTTATAGTTTTTATATTTCTCTAATGATATACTTGATCCAATTAATGATCTTAATATTGATAATTCTCAACTGCAGGTACTTGTCGATCTCCATTATGCAACAATGAAGAATCATCTGAAATAAAAAATTCAACCTCTTTATCCAAGTCCCAGGAAATAGTTCACGAAAGGAAACTTATCGTTCCCTCTGTAATTTTCACAACCACTCTACCATCGACTATCGATTATGCACTCAAAAATGTAGCACAGTCTACGGCCTCAGTCAAACCAGTGGAGGATAAGAAATCAGAGACAATTGCTCCTACAAAGAGTGAACAATCTACTATGATGACGACATCTGAAAACCCAATAGACCAGTCAACAATTCCAAATAGTAGCGACGATAATAAAAGTAACTTAAGTTTGAATGACAAAATTCGCAATGCAGAATAGGTAGTAAATAAAATTCAATTGGACTTGTGAGATGAATAATCAATGAAGAAATTAACACTAGTGTTATATTCCTTTATGTCATGTGGTCTGGATTGAAATTCGATGTCCTTGAACATTTTATTTCTTCCGACTTTATTTTATTGTCATTTTTTATAAGACTGAATCAATGTATTATGTTTCGATTAACTACTGTTAAATTCAATGTAAAATTTAGATAATAAACATGCTATTAGTTACCATGTGAAAAGTATCTTAAACTTATTTTAACTTTTAAAAAAATCTTAGTATTAATAGCTAGTTTCATACAATTGGATGTATTTTTTAAATTAATTTTATTAAAGAAAACATCAAAAGATAACAACTTAGCCCACGAAATAGTTGTTCAAAATCCTTATCCATGGGAAGTTCTTATTAAATTAAACTGTATAAACCAACTTCTTAGAAAAAAGCCTTTGTCATTCAGAGAAATTTATGAACCCTTGAATTCAAGATTTAAGTTTTTATGCCACTAATATAGCATTGAAGCAATCATAACTGAAACGTAGTGGGTTTTTCCAAGGACCTCGTCTTTAATCGTGTCTTGTGTGTATGTCTTATTGCCCTCATCAATTTATCTCAATCATTGATTCTAATCTGCAACAAACTTTATTTATAATTAATAAATAACTTTTTTTTTTCATTAACTTAGTTACTTTTGAATATTATTTATAAATTTTTCAAGTATATTTTTTTTGTAGTTATAAAATTAATTGAATAAGCATCAAGCATTTCGATTTCACCAATTCTATTGAGCTTCTCGGATCACTCGGGTAAAACCGAGTTGCGGCTACAAGTACGCTATGTGCATGTTAATAAAGATTCTAAGGTCAGGTTTAGTTGTTAAAAAAGGGCGAAGCATCGTCATGAAGCACCAGATGCTTGTCAATCGCCATGGCAAAGTGCACGTTATTTATCTATTTTTTATTTTTTTTGGAATTTACATGGGCCGTAGGTGAGCTGTGAAATTAGTGTGTGAATGACGTAACTGATGTTCAAATACATTGTGTTTGGAAAAGTAACAAAGTGAAAAAAGAAAGTTTATATCAGAAAACAAATCTTATTGAAAACAGTCATCAAAATAAATCAATTATTAGACATTTCATTAAAATTTTCTAAGTCTTTTAATCACAATTAGCAGTACCTTGAATTGATATTTAAAAAAACGATAAATCATTCAAACTCTCGTATTAATTTCGAGGTCAATTTTGCATGTAGTAGACGAAGTGATGAACACACAAGTCAAAGACTCAGGGTTAATCATTAGATTTATTAGACGATAACTCTTTCTTTATTTACACTTTGACGTATATTCATATCTTATTTTTCTGCTCACAAAGTGTTGATTGCATTCTAGATGATCGGATTTATTTTGATCCAAATTATGAGAGACGATGGAACACACCGCCAGAATTAATTTCGAAAGCAAGTAGAACAGAGGATCAAAATTCAAATACACCTCAAGCAAGATTTCTACCATTTTCAGCAAGCTTTACTCTGAACGCAGGATCAAGTAATACTCATTCCCTCAGTGTTGGTAGTAATAACGAGGGAATCAGTTTATCTCAGAGTCAAAGTAGCAGCTCCAGCCCCTTTAGAAACGGCAGGTGAATGATTAATGATATTTATCCAGACATTTCAATCATCTGTTAGGAGTGGTTTTTTATCTGCACCAAAGACACACGTTTTCTCACATTGTCAGTTCATAATTTTCACATTATTGATGAGTAACTGCTCGATGAGTGATTATATCTCCAAGTGAAATGAAACAACTTTTAAAGTTAATTTTTCATGTCAATCAATACCATTAAAAAATATTGAGACAAGAAATTAACAATTATTTTTTACAAAATGATTCAGCTTATAAATAATAATATTTTTCTTTTAAAAAAAAATTTCCAGTATTTTTCAATAAGAATAACTCACCGCATTACTCACAGTATCAATTTTATTTTCACAAATTCTATCATATTGATAACAGAATTGTGTATACAAGTGTTTGTACAGTATAGTCATAATTTGATAAAGAAATTGATATTTTTTTTGATCCAGCACCAATTAAAATAAATTTTGATTTACAAATTTCAGCTCTGGCATTTCTGCAAGTCAATCAACTTCATTTTCAGCTGGGTTGTCTGGCATTTCAGCATCAGACGCAAATGCTTTTAATCTAAATCATCCAATTTTCGGAGGCAATTCTAAAGCCAATAGTAACTCTTTTACTCTTGGCCAAGCTACCTCTACGGCTCATGGAAAAGTAGTCAATAACCAGGCAATTACCGGGGCCCACTCAAGCGTTGGTTCCCCTCACTCATCGGTATCTTCTAGTGCATCTTCGAGTGCAGGAAACTACCAGACCTCGTCTGCTGCTGAAGCAACGGCATTGGCGGCTCATCATGGCCAAGGTCATCAACGCGAGAAGCCTTCATGGATAAATATTCGTCCCAATTATTCAACTGAATGTAATTAATAAATCATTTTAACATTATTTAATCTTTACAAAATCATATTTGCATGGTGTTCTCCTTTTTTTATACACTCAAATATGAATTAAATTATTTAAAATATTTCTAGCTATTAACAATTCTTGTAATAAAAATGAACAAAATTGGGCCATAGATCAACGATTTACGTCAACATCAAGTCCTTGGTCACAACATTCCCAAGAAAATAATCCATCCCTTCAAATTTTGGGAGCTTCTGCTTCTTCAAGTTCATCTTCAAACACTGGAGGTTTTTCTGTTGGTCAATCATCGTCCCAAAGTAATATTGGGTCAGGTAGGCCATCTTCTTGGACGAATAATCGAGTTCATACAACAGGCGATGCTCAAAGTCATGCTCAAGGAGCAGCCGCAGCAGTTGGGCAACAATCTAATGGCAAAACTCAAGCTAGTTTTAGCTCTAGTGCAATATCTGCTAGTTCTGCAAGTAATGGAGAATCTCAGGGTACTTCAATTTCAGAAAATCGAGGACAAAGTTCTCGAGGAGAAGTTATTAGCCACTCGGTTGGAGTGTCTAATGTTCAGGGGACAGCGAATGCTGGTTCTGTATCATTTGTTAGATTTCCCGAGGGTGAAAATGATTATAACGTGCCAAAAGAATTCGTGAGAAGTGGATCACAGGATAGGCGAAGTGATCAACAAAGAAATAAATCTAGAAAGCGACAGAGAAATCCCATTGATAGGTTTTTAACAGATTTAACTGATACTGTAGTTGATATATTTGATTTTAAATAAGAATTATCCAAAGTAATTTAGTATTTTATATTTAAACAATTACTTAAGATTGATGTAATTCAGCAGATTTGTATATTTAAATAATATAAAAAGTTATAATTTATTAATATATATATTTTAAGTGTAATATAATAGAGAATTGATCAATAAATAAATAATTATACGAATGTTGTGAGCCTGCATTATCGGTTGCTCATAGAAAATATCTCAGAAGCGGCTTCTTGGTTCTCTTGAAAGACACCAGGGAAGATTGCTCATCAACTGGTAATGTATCATACATTGTTAATAGATGTACCCAATACTGTAATTAACTTGGAGATGGCTCTTTAATAAAGTTCCAGAGGTCATCAATGTTATCATCATATGACACTGATAATTCCATCCACATTTTTTATTGAAAACATTCTTGCGCGTGCAACAAAAATTGATTACTTTTGATGATGCCATATATCAATTCTTGATGAATATAATTACCTATAATGTTATCTTTATACATTATTTATGTATCTTATTACATCTTATTATGTCAGCTAGTTTTTTTTGTATTAATGAAGCTTCGGGAAAACCCAATGGTAACTTCTACTTTGAAAATACGTCTCGATAACTTCTGATTAGAAAATTAGCTTTGATAACTTTTGACGAGAAAATTGTAGAGTAGTGCATATTGAATCATAAGAGGTCATTCTCGAATGTTATAGATTATCAGATTTGCCAAACTTGTACGTCATTTTTCCGATATTGATGTCATAATTTTTTTTCAAAAACATTTTCATATTAACAAATTTTTTCTAAAAATTTATTTACTTGATAAACTACTGAATAAATTATTCATCAAATTATTAAAACTCTTCCTACTTATGCAACTTTTCCTGTAAACTTTGACGCCAATGAACTGTCTCTGAACAGATTACTATCTCTATATTTAATCAAAGCTGATCGTCAAGGTTATAAAAAAAATTAACATTCTTGATTCGTTCAGACAGAGCTAAAGAAGGTTTCAGGCCACCATAATCGATGTTTCTATGAGTTAAAGATAGTAAGATCGCATTCTGTAGAAGATGAGTTGTTGATCAACATAATTATTATTTATTCTCAAGAACAACTGCAGTTGATGAAAAAATGTTCTTTGTTTTAAACGTTGTATTTTATTGATAATATTTTTTCCTCATATTCATGATCAATTTTATTTGTGTAAATTTGAATTTACGGCAATTTCGTTCTTCTCAATTAATTTTTTATTTTTAAAGTTAAATTATGAAATTAATAGCTATTTGATGGTCATAGTAGTTAAAGAAATTAGTTTCTGTTTTTTAATCAACTCATCATTTCTTCAATGCCGCGTGAAAAGACAGAATCGTTTAATAACAACATATTACCCAGGGTCGGAATTTAAATTATTATTAAGAATAATTTCACTCATTCGTGTTCAAAGAAACTACTTTTATTTCTGTAATTTTTATTGTGGCTACTTCTTTATTCATAGTTTCAATTAATTGTGTTAAAAGAAATCGATCAAGTTTTCATTGCATCTGGATTTTCCAGGGAAAATCCAAAAAGTTGCATGTAGATTATTGATGTGTTGTGGGATAAACAATGACACCATACTGTTACTCACTACTTGGCTTATGCAATCATCACAGGATCACATCGTGTGTACTAGTAGAGATATCTAGCTATAAAAGAAGGAAGATCGAAGATTTTTCATGCAGTATAATCCGGCTACTCGATACCCGGAGGCTGTGATTAGTGGTTCAAGATGTGGAAGTTCGTATCTTTTTGTTCTCTTGTTATTCTTCTGACAAGTTGTAATGGTTTGCCTGTTGAATCGGAATCAGGTACAATTTTTACTCCCTTCAATCACTCTGAAATGATTTTAAAAATTATTATCATACTTCCTTATTAGTATTTTTTTTTTAATTTTATTTTTTATTATAAAAATCATTGTAAAGAAGTTTTGTAATTTTTCAATTAAAAAAAATTTAACGCTTTTGACATTTCAGACAACGTAAGCAATTTTGATAACCAAGAAGTACCAACTTTGGCAACAGACTTACTTCCACCACTAGAAAATGCTGAAGTTGCTGATTTTAGAAATTTTAGAACAGAAAAGAAACGAACTATTTCAAGCGAATTCGAATTACCTCGAAGAATCGTAACTGCTCCATTCCGTGATGAAGATGAAGCCCTATCAATTTTCAAAAAAAAAAAGTACTCTTCAAAAGCTTCTGGCAGTGATGATGTAAAAGTTCCGCTGTCTTTGGAATTAGAACCACCGAAAGAAACTACTGATGTGCCTTTTTATACTGATGACAAAGAAAACGCAACTTTGGGTGTAGTTTTCATCGTCAATCTGTATGCTGTGAAAAATTCTAGTGGAGAAAATTCAAAAGAAATATTGAGTGATGAAGTAACTTCAATGGATCCATCAATACTAGGTATATGTTTTGTTTATTGTTTACGTACTAGTTAATCTTGTTTTTGCAGTCAAAACATGATTTATCGTACTGATAAAAATTAATGTTGTAATATAGAGTTGTTGGTTTTAGAAATCAATAGTTTCATAATTAAACTATACTGATTTCAGAGCCCGTAGCGACTATTCTGTTGATACTTGAAGAAGATGATGAAAAGAGAGCATCAGATCTTGATGTACTTGCTAAAGATCTTGAAGACGGTGGAATGAAAATAGAAAAAATTTCAGAGGATGGTAAAACTAAAATGATTAAGATTAACTTTGATGAAACTCTCGAAGATAATGACGTAGAGTTAGTTAAACCCGGAAAGTTTAATAAGGTCCGAAGACGACGAACTATCTGCTCAAGTTGCGGAGGTGGTGGTTTACTCAGTAAATTGTTAAATAAACACAAGGGTAATGGATGTCAAGGAAACTGTGGAGGTGGTGGTGGATATCCCCCTACTCAAAGTAAGTTTATCATTCAATTCTTCGATCTTAGATTGTTAAAGATATTTTATTGATGAGTTCTTTTCTAACTTTAATTATTTCCAAGCAATTTAGTCATCAAATATCAATCGTATCCATTTTTTTAATGTAGCTGTCGGAGTCATTCCTGTAGTTGTTGTTGAACAACCTCAATATAGGCCTCAGCCACATTATCAACCACAACCTGTCTATAGGCCAGCACCTCAGCCACATTATCAACCTCAGCCACATTATCAACCTCAGCCACAGTATCAACCTCAGCCACATTATCAGCCTCAGCCACATTATCAACCCCAGCAAACATGTAATACATGTGGAGGCGGGTAAGTTGGTCTCTTTCACTAAAAGCTGAATCTAGTTAGTAGACTGAAGATAAAACATTTTGCTATTCTACCAGCTAACGATGATTTGTAATGGAAAAAACCGAATAACAGTTTTTTAACTCATTGAAGAGTTATGCTTTTTATAAATGATTCAGTAACTAATAAAGTTGATCAAATTTTTCTTTCAGTAATCATGGATCTTACTCCCAATCATCTGCACAGGCTTCAGCTCAATCTTCTTCAGGCAGCTGGTAGAAAAGAGAATAATATAAAAACTTTAAATGTATTTCATATTAGTAATTATGATAAATGTTATTAAAATTAGATGAAGCACTTTTTTTAATATGAAATTTTTACTGAAACAATTATATAAAAATAAAGCTGATTATTTTTCAAACTTTTTGTCCTTTTTTTTCTACGGAATTTATTTATAATTAAATCATAGAACACTTGGCATTGTCTGTACTTATTATAAAAATACTTTGATCATTAATTGATGAAAATAATTATTTTAACTTGAGTTGTTACTCATTAAGAACAGTCATTTTTTTCTGATAAAACAATTTCTGTGATTTCACTCGAAAAAAGTCTTCAACAACTCAGTCATGGCCAAGCGTAGAGTAATTTCGTTTTTATCAAAGCATTTAAAACCCACTCACAAACTACAAAGTCAATTATTGTGTAATCGTTTAGTTTACGGAGGGAGATCTATAATTATTTAATTATTTGACTACATATTGCAGACAGTAGCTTTACTCCCAAGTTGGAGCAGAGTTAGTTTACGTCGATGCTTCCGGTGCCTTATATACATGTAATCATACTTAAGCTGATGAATATGGCTACAACATGAGCGCACAAAAGTTCGAATAATGTAGATGATAATTGATGATAATAACCGGCTAAACGAAAATATTGCATTTCAACGAAAAATGTGACGTTCATTGTAGCATCAACAATCGTGTAAATGCGGATGTTATGTAATAACATTACAGGATCACGCGTTCGTAGGACGCGAAATAATACCTGAGATTAATGTGTTTGATGATGCTGCTATAAAAGAACCGGCAATTGAATATCTGCTGCACAGTACATTTTTGGAAGTTGTTTGAAACAAATTTTTGATTCCAATTGTATTGTAGATAATAAAAATGAGGACATTTGTTATTGCAGTAGGATTATTGTTATTCATTAATACTCTTAATGCTTCACCAATTATTGTTTCTCTTGAATCAGGTATTTCAATAACATTTTAATAACGGGAATCTTTAAATACAAATATTTCAAACTCCATAAACTAAAATTATTATTCAATTTAATAATTTCCAGATGAAAGTTCAAGCAGTGATGAAGATGGAATAGTATATGTATTAAATTTGTACGCAGTGAGACGATCAACAGTACCCAAAGTCGCCAGAATATTGAATCAAAAATCAATTGAAAAACTTCCAACATTTTTTGGTATAATTATTTGATGTTTTTATTTTCATTATTATTTAAAGTGTATAAATAATATTATAAGTAACTGTCAATTTTTGTCCAATAGAACCAATTGGAACTCTCTTGGTGGCAGATGAAGAATCTTACGAACCTTTTACTATGGAACAAATTAAAGAATTTCTGGATGATGAATATTTGACAGTAACTAAAGTTGATATTGGAAAAGACTCGAACATATACGAACTTCAATTAGGTATGCAAGATGAATATGAATCTGAAAATTTTGTGGCTATCTTTGACGAGCTATTCAAATACCTCGATGAAGAAGGAATATTGATAAAAATGAGTATTGAAGGAAATAAGAAAGTAATTGAAGTTAAATTTGATGACTCGGTGAAAATCAGCGATTATCTTTTTTCACTTGAAGAATTTGCGGAATTCTTTGAAAATGAAGGAATTACAGTTGAAACAGTTAAAGTTCATGATGAAATTCGTGCAGTGAGACTCATATTTGAATTACCACAAACTCCAAACTCTGAGAAAACGGATAGACATAATAAAGAGGTATCAACGACACAACGAATTGATGATAGAATTAATGAAATTGAAAAAAAAGACGATAAATTGAATGAAGTCGCTAATAGCCAAGAAAAAAAATCAAATAAAATTCCTGAAAGTAAAATAGAGAAAAATTATATTGATAAGAAGGAGAAATATGAACCCATTGAAGATCAGTTTTTAGTTCATGACTTCATAACAAGAGCAGATTCTATAAACAAAATAAGACGACGGCGATCAGTATGCCCAGAATGTAAAATAAACGATCTAATTAAAGAATTTGCGACTAAATTCGAAAAAGAAAAATAAAAGTGTAAAAATTTTGAAACATTATATTGTAAGTTGTTAAAACTTTTTAACTTGAATATTTTTTTGATTAATTTTTAATTATTACATGAATGTATAGAGCATAAAATGATTCTAATGTCTGACATCATGAATGTATAATCATAATCATACTGAACAATAAATAACTCTAAATTTAAGTCATTATTTTAGAAGAATCAATAAAAGTTCAACTGTATCGTTGTGCTGTTGTGGATATCTGTAAAATAAAATTATCCACAATGAACAGCTATTCTTTGCTAAATATGACTTAATTACTTTTATAGGTCATTTTAAAAGGTAACTCAATAAATGAATCATCTAAAATCTCAAGAAAAATCTGAGTGATTCCCAGGTTAATCGTAATTCCATTAAAGAATAATAAGATGTTATCAATCCATTATATGACTAACATATAAATTACTTTCGGAGACTTTTAGTATAACTTTGAGATGAGTAATAAAATGCATTTATCTAAAAGCTATTATTTTTCTACATGAACAGACAGTAATTATTGATCAATTTACGCTTGACGGTTGTTTATAAGATAATTTTCGCAAAAACAGTATTCTGTATTTTTCCTAATAATAAGTAGTAACAAAAATGAGCATCAGACAGTATATTCTAGTCGAATACTCTAATGCATTATTTACTCTTAATTAAATTTATTGATGTGGGCTGTGGACATAAGCGAAAATAATATTCAATAAAATTCAATTTACTTCAATGTTAGAGATTTTTTGATTAATGTTCAGCCAGATAATAAAGCAATAAAGAATGTAATACCTCAATGATTTTATAATCTAGTTTACTTTTTTGTTTTTATTTACTAGTAAAAACGAATACTGTTCATTGACATCTACCTTTTTTCATATGGTGTCAAAATAATATATTGAAAAGTAGAAAAGTGAAAGTTGAATCAGTAAAATGGAAAAAAGCATTCAATCATTGAATGCACATATATACTAATTAATCCTCCTCGTCACTCGATATTTTACGGATTTGTTTAGACTCAGATACTCCTGAAACCGTTTGATCATCATCATCTTCATCACTATCAATTACACGGCGCTTTTTAAACGATGGTGTTTCTACGACTGAATTTTTCAAAACCTTTTCATCATTATTTTCATCATTGTCTTCATCACTATCAATTATACGGCGCTTTTTCAATGATGGTGTATCTATGTCTGAATTTCTTTCATCATCGTAATTATCTTTATCATTATTTTTATTATTATCTTCATCATCATCATCTTTATCGTTATCAATTAGACGATGATTTTTCGACAATGATGTTTCTACGCTTGAATTTTTTGAAATCCTTTCATCATTATTAATTACATGATGATTATTTGATAATGATGTCTCTACTTTTAAATCTTTTGTAACTCTTTCATCATCTTCATCACTATCAGTACCATAATATTTTTTAAATAATAGTGTTTTTAGATCTGAATGTGCTGAATCCCTTTCATCATCAGCATCATCTTCATCACTATCAATTTCGTGAGACTTTTCCAATGATGCAGCTTCTTCATCTGAATCCTCTGATCGGTTATTCTTTGCTTTCGCTATAATATAAAAAAATACAAATAAACTTCAATAAACATTAAAGCAAACATAATGAGTAGTATGAGAAAACACTTAAAAACTACTAATTAATTTCTGTTATAAATAATCAAAAAGAAAGATAGAATATTATATACTTACAGTTATCACGCCTACTTTTACGTTTTTTTCGTAATTCTTTTCTATCTTTCGCCAGCCCTAATTCCAAAAGCTTTTCCTTTATTTTCGGCTTTGGTCGCTTTATTCTCAATCCTCCATAAATGAGATCAACTGGATCTGTTCAATTAAAAGTCATTGTAAGTTTTTAATGAGAGTTTAGTAGCAATGGGAAACTAATCGTATTCCTCTCGCAAATCTACTTATAACAGACTCAAATTCTCTACCATCATTTATTAAGTGAAAAGAGACGGAAAAAAGTAATCAAATTACCATCATCATCTTTCACGTTTTCCCACATTTCATTTAATTGAGCAATTTCTTCCTCTCCCCATTCTTTTGGAAGACGTTTTTGCACTTCACTCCTGATTGCCTATGAAAATAAATCCTTCTTTAAACTAATTATATTTAAAAGATAATAAAAAAATATAGTTAAGCGACATTTAAATTCGTCCAAGTTACTTTAAGTATATCACAAACTTTTTTATTTCCTGTTCTTGCAGTTATGTTTCCACTTACTATTATTTCAGGTAAAAGATTTTAAAAGTAGATTGCATAAAAGTTACTGCAAAAACCATGACTTTTTCTACAATGGGACCAAAGAAAGAATTACAATGTAAAGGTTTAATTTACAATTAAAAGTGCTGGAATTGCAATTTAATTAATTTATTCAGCTAATGAAGATTGAATAAACAGTCACATTGATTAATATTAATGTTTTATTGACTTGGGATTTATTGGAAAATTTATTTTCTACTGCATCCGAATAGAATTATCTTTAGAATTCATTTCTACAGTTTTTTATTTTTTGAAACCATTTTCAATTTTAATTTCATGCATTAAACGATTGAAAATAATGAGTACAATATTTAAAGTATTTAAATAATTTTTTTTATCTTCTATTGTTTTAGTTAAGTGAGTTCAAAAATAAAAAGTGCAAAAGTTAGAAGTAAAGTGTAGCTTATTTTGCTTAATAGAATAAGTAGATGGTAAGAACTAGAATACGTTCTATAGAAAATAAAAAGTAATTTAAATGAGGAATTCCACGAGGGATTGTTTTAACGGAATTTTCAATTTCTGCGAGTCAGTTGAGTTTTCTTTTATAGGAAATATGTTCTTCTTGGTGACGTGGTAAAACTTATTTAGTTTTACCTGCAATACTGTATGTTATTTTCCACAATTTTCGCTTATCCTCATAGATCTTATTTTTGTTGTTTTTGGCAGTTTTTCTCCTGTAAATCATTGATCTTGTTTCTCTGAGGATATGAGATAACTTGGAAGAAGATGATAACCACGCAGTGGTTGCGCGTGACCCGATCATGGATTAGTCCAGGTAAAAAGAATAAATGAAAACAGACAAGAGTGAAAGAAAAAAAAAGAATGGATTTGATAGTCATAAAAATAGTAAAGGTTTTCGAACACTCGTGTTTTTAGCCAGACGACAAAATAGTGGAAATGTTCTTATAAACTCTACCTATAGATACCGTCCACAGAGAATGATAATTCATGCTTGTTTGTTGAAAGATTAAAATGAAGCGCCATTTTTAACTATGTGCTACAGTCGTAGAAAAAGTTCCAATTGCTTCCCGTGGGATATCGAGTTTTTTTTTAATACTTTTTTCATTTATTCTCACGAAAAAACTTCTGATTACTTCTAACTGTATGAACTAATTAGATTCAACTCTGTAATTGACAAACGAATAATTACCTTGGAGTTTACGATCAGATGCATCTCCTTGAGTTTTTTAATGATACTACGTCGTGTTCGATCTTCACTTATAATATTCTCCAAAAGCCAATCAATCAAGTCTAAAAAAAATTCATTTAAATTCTTCAATTTGCAGTTTAATTCATTTAAATAGTAGTTTTATAAATGAAAGTTCTAAAAGAGTCTTTCAATTAAATTTAAAAAAGTAAATAATAAAGTTTATTTAAAATTGTCAACGCCCATTGCTATTCATTTTCATTTACATTTATTAGAAGTGGGATAAAAGTTGCAAATAATTTTTACCTTGAGGATACTTGTTTGTTTGATGTTCCATGAACAACGTACGAAGCTCATCTTCTTCAGCTTCACTCCAGACGGCACTGGAAACTTTTTTCTTTTCATCTGGTGCATCATAGCCTTCTACCATCTCTGTAGCCTCGCGTGTATTCTTCCAGAAGAGCAGCTCCATGTACGCTTTCCGGTTTTTTTTAGCTACTTCCGTGAACTGGCGAATTATGAAGATGGCAAACTTTTGCAGCTCCTGTAACATTTCACAAGTGCGCGTGTTGGCGACACGTTATACATAGATTCTTGTTTTAAGTTCAAAGTTTCAGACACAATAATAGACTTTATTACTTGTTCTGACCTTGTGTTCAGCATGTTTTGAATCAAGAATTTTCTGAAAAACTCGAAATAGCGATGCTTGAAACATCATTGCTGACATTTTGCAGTCATATGCGATCCGATGCAACAGTTTTAAGATATAATGATTAAGTTCTACTGAATTGTCGTTAAAATTCTGTAGCAAAGTTGTCATTGCTTTTACCACTTTTATATTAGCAAATCTGTTAAAAGAAGAAAAGAAATAGATAATTATTCTAAAATACTTGTAAAATTTTCTCCATAAGGAGTATAAGATAACTTATAATGAGTTTTGATTGAAAAATTTGATGAGAGAGTATGTAATTATTAGAGAAAATACCTTCGAACAAAATCAATAAATACAAAATTGGTTTCCTCCAACTGCACTTCTCGTTCAGCTTCTTCCTCTTCATTGTCTTCATCGTCATCTTCAGCCTCACCTGCCATTAAATCCATTACAGATAATGAAGTACAAACTAAAAACTATCCGTCAAACAATATCTAATTTAGTTCAGAATATAGCCAACTAACCATCCTCATTGTTAAGGAAACTTTCCACGTTCTCTTCGTTTGGTTTTTCTGCTTCATCTTCAACTACTGAAACAAAAATACCAAAAAATAAAATCGTGACTGCAGTTAAATATGTGACCACATTTTATAGAGCTACTACGTCTAGTCCGAGCATTTACTTGTTCTCTTTAAAAGTATCTAAAATATCTCACGGACTAGGAAAAAAATATTGTTATGGGATGTAAACTAAACAGTTTAACTTTTACAGCTTAACTTTCTTGCTTTAATTTTGTCTAGTTATATAAGTTTCAAAGGGTTAATGTTACAGCTTTATGATAACCTTGAAGTGTTGGATAATATTTTACATTAACTACGTAAAATATGATATCGGAAGTAGTATGAGTGAATCAATAGGCCATATTCGAGAGATGGATTTGATAAGGAAATCAGATAAAATCGACATTTTAGCTTATTTAACTTTAAAATAAAAACATTTTATTAATAAACAATTGCTGAATTGATTTAACAACTTTTACTTGAATATTATATTTATTGATTGGATATCAATTTTTTAAGCTTGAATTCTTTTTTATTTTCAGTTGTTAGTAGTTATTCCAATATATGAATTTAAACTTATTGGAGTCTTAAGAATTTAGTTACGTAATATTACAAGATAATGAGTTTTATTGAATTGTCATTTGTAATTAATAAATAATAAAAGATATTGAATTAAAAATAGCGCCCTTTAAAAGTTTAATTAGAAAATTAAAACTTATAATGAATAACCCCCTTTTTTATTGTTTAACATTTATTTTGATTCTACTCACTCGATTTTTCATGTTTGAATCAGAACATTAACTGAATATCTAATCAATAACAATGTTTTAATGTATTATTTGAATGAAAAGAACTAACTATTAATTTATTAGTTTCTTCTCACCTACCGAATTTTTATCAATTTTGACACAAAAGTTGCCTGACAAAAATAAAAAATAAATATTTCTGATAAACTGAAGTTAACTTTATAATACAGTTTAATCGATTGGAAAATCCATGATGTTGTTACCGAAAGTTGTTCGAAATTTACAAGAGATTATTGAATAAAAATTCACTCAGCTATTACAAACTAATCCATAAACTGTAACATGTACAAGCTATTACGTATTGGAAGTTGAGTGCTAAAAAAGCCTTTGTGGTAACTTTTGAGTGTGATCAGATGACAAATGCATGGCAAATACAAGGGTGAAAGAGTTAAAAGGTTTAGGACAGATATAAAGCCAAATAAAAAGGATGAAGCTTGCAGACTCGTTGTCTATAGCCAAAGTGATAATGAAAAGCCTTGTGTTGTGTAGAAAACATCGTGCCATGGTTCAGAATTTCAAAAAGATTGGGGATTTATTTGAAAATACTGCAGAACTGACACGTCCACTTTAGAGACTAATACACGAGGTTTCGTTAATGGATTGATAGGGAAGGGATAAAACCGATTGACGATGATGCGATTACATCTCAATTGAAATTCTAGATCCAAATGAATTTCTTCCAATTAAACAAATCATTTCGTTGAATGGTAATCGATGATGGATTCAATTTACTTATCCATTTTCAAAAATAATTTTTAACATTTTTAAATAAATTATTAAAATTGTTAATCCATTTATTTATATTATCATTAAAAATATTTACTGTAACTACTAAACTACAATCTTCTCTTCATTGTTTATTGGAACAATACCTCCTAACTCATTAATATTCCTAATGGATGAAAATGAATTTGGCTGATGAATAAACACTATTTTATTTATAAGTTTGATAATAAAAATTCTAGTGATTGTATTAAATATTCTACCTATTATTGATGAGTAAAATTAGATTGGTATTAGGATACCCTAAGGGAAAATAGGAGCCAAACAATTGTTATTATTAGCTTTTCACCGATTTTATAGTCATTGAAGCATAGAAATTTTAGTAGAAAACCAGAAATCGTGTTAGGGAGAAAATACCTATGATATTTCTACCCACTCAAATAACATCTTGTAATTATGATTATTCCTCTTGAGCGCGCCCTAAGCTCTTGCTCGCTACAGATTAAATTAGACTTGCAAGTATCGAGAGCCCAAGATTGGCAGGGTAAGTCAGGAGTAATATTACTGCAGTAATAAGCATTGTGTATAAAGCAGTGTTAGTATGAATTTCATCATCATTTTAGTCACATTCATTCACAGTACATTGCTGTTTCTGTACCTAGTAGCATCGTGCTTACAAATAGTGAATTCTATGAGATCTGAGCAACATAGACTTGATTTTCTTGTTAATAATAAGTACGTATTTAGATTATTCAAATTCATTGAATGTATGGCTCTTGTGTCGAATGTGTATCTTCTTCGTTGAAAACTAATTATATTCATTAGAGCTTATATGATATTACCTATTTTGAAATACATGACGAAAAACATGTTGTATGCCTTCATTTTGATATTATTTTTTAAAATAGCTCAAATAATTTTTCTTTTGGCAGGAATAATATTTACTTTAAGTTTGATAATTTTTCGCATAGTTTCGGCTCATCCTAAATTGACCCATAATGTGGAGGAACTATTGTCCAGTCAATTTTTTGATACTAAATATCAGGAAAAAGATTTGAGAGTACTTACTTTCTAAAAATAAAACAACAAAAATTGTGCAGAATCAATAAATATATTAAAATTTGTTCTAACAGTTGTTTTATTATAACTGCAAAATCAATCGATATTTACTGATTTTAAAGTCAGCTTTATTATTTTCACTGTTTCGTTTGAAGTACGAAAATAGTGTAGTTAAACTTCCTTTTTTTTATTAAGTTAAAAATAGATTATTTATAAAAGATGAAAACTTATTTGAAATATAAACAGATTTCAATTCAATGAGAGAGTACGTTGGTTGTATAGACAGCTGAAAATATAATTACATTTTCGGAATTTTTCGTATGTTTTTAAAGATCGTCGAGTTTTCTTTAGGCATTTTCGAGCAGTTACCGAATACGTGATCTTTGGTAAAAAATTTAAGGCAATTGAATATTCTTGATTCACATAATTAATGTAGTAATCACAAATGAAACTGAGTTTATTCATTATACACGGAGAGAATTCACTGCTCAGAAGTAAAAACAATGAGAAATACATGATTTGACGTTTAGAAGTACAATATAATTATCGAATTTTTATAAATTATCACATGAAAGATATACTACAGTAACTTATTCAGTAGATGTATTTTGATTATACAAGAATCATCCAATTTTATTTTCTAATAATTAATGATAAAGAACAAGGTAGGATTATGAGTCACTTTTTGTTCTTATTCAATTACATTTTACTCTGTTGAATTATCATCAATCATTACTTAAATGAATCAAATGAATGGACCGTATTAAAGACTGGACCATAATTCTACCTTCTCCTCTACATTTTGTTTTTAATTTTATAATTAAAAAACATTATTCAAAGCTGATAAATAATTTTATGTCAATTCTATTTAAAATACAGTAAACGAACTCTAAAATATCATCAAGTTGATACCAATATGATTTTTCAACAAAAATGCAACCATTCGAAAAATCCTTACAATTATTCCCTTTTATCCAGTGATCTCTTGATTCCCGACACTATTAGATTTTCTGTTATTTTTATAACAATTTTTCTAGTTATTTATTTATTTTTTTTTTGTTTTTTTTAATTGGAAAATTTCAATGCATAAATTTGATAGGATATTGAAAGCAAAGCAAAAAAAATGATCAAATAAATCCTTGATAATTCTCTATCTTCATCGCACACCACCAACCATCGTTTATTGCAACCGATCGTTTCAATCAAATAAATTCAACCTCTTACAATAAAATATTTCTACCATGAATACTAAAAAAAATTTCAATTCTTTCTTTCATCATAATTTTATTCCGTTTTTATTCCCTCAGCTAGCATGATTACCAGAAATGAATTCAACTAATTTGTATCCTTCGAGAGACCAATACAATCAAAAAACACCCTCTGTCATTAAAGAAGATTAAGGTCTAAAGACTGGAGAAGTGCGTGTATAGTGTCAATTATTTGCCATATTAAATTAGGATCTCGTGACAGTAGCCTGAGACTCTTTCTTTTTTGTTACCAAGAAAAACCTTCAAAGCAATCCTTTTTTTTTTGACAGCCTAAAATCTTAATTAGCACCTCGTGGTTATCGTTAATGATATACATCAAATTACTTCTAGATTTTCATTTCATTATATTACCGTGTAAAAATAACTAGTATTAACAAGTCAGTGTGCAGAATTTTTGATTATAAATGAACTCTGAATGAATTTAATCATGTTAAGTTAAACTTCAAAGACTATAGTAAATTTATAAATTTACAGAATCATGATTTCTGCATAAACGCACTGGTTAACTAAGCAAACGTGTTATGCATAGTTTCGAGAATGTGATGGTGATTATCTGTTCACAAATTAGACAGAGATTCGAGGTCTTGCTTGACTCTCGGCGGTCGACAGCAAACCACCTCTATAACTCCAAAAGTACCTCATGCGCTTCTACTCACAAGCCTTCACTTTATACAGCTAAACTTCTACTATATATGCACACCCATACGATATTACTTGAGTTGGGTATAGTGCTGAATCTTGAGTTTCTAGCTACTCTAGTCAATGCATAGCCTTCCTTGAGATCATAATTGTACTGCCAAGGCGCGAAACCTCACCAACACTTTTATGCAACACCGACAAATGCAATAATCATCCAAGTATTGCCCTAACTTCTCACGAATCCATCTACCCTGCACTTAAAAGAAACTTGTTTCTTTGTTATACGTATTATATCCAGCCTGTCATTTGTTTTGTTTAGTCTGTGATATTGTTATGAATTCTATTGTATGCAACTGCAGTTAACTATAATTAAACATTTATGTAATTTTGTGTGCAAAAGACTTCTGCTTTGACAACTATAATATTTTATTTGCGTGTTGCAAAAAAGTATACTTTACTGTGTGTACTGTACTTTGTAGAGTCTTTTATCTTGAGCTTACTCTTTTATTACAAGGCTAATTGAGATGACTTATTA